CACACACGCACACACACACACACACACACACTCTCTCTCTCTCTCTCTCTCTCTCTCTGTCTGTCTGTCTCACTCTTTCTCTCTCCCTTTCTCACTCTCCATTCTTCTTTAACCCCCGGTTTCGTCTCTTATTCTATTTTTGACAATGACCGAGTTCTCATACACTGAGGTATTAAACTGGAGTCTCCCCATATAATAATCTCTGGTTTTGTTCATCAGCCTCTCCTCTAGACATCCGATGACGACGCGATCTTCGTTCAGGAAAAACTTGTTGGCAAACAGGAAGTCACTGGCGACCATCCTCGGGAGGTCTCCTGTAGAAGAAGACAAGAAAGTTTTTTTGGTGAGACATATTTACCCTCATTTTATTCTCGGCTTTTTTTTTTTTCTTTTTTTTTTGTGTGTCCTTCAGTGAGTTAGCTGCCAAAAAGCTGTGTTGTAATAGATAATTATACTCCAGTTTAGTTTAGGCTTAGTAAGAGTTTTCACGGCGCTTGCAACATAATTAGGTTATAGAAGTGCCAAAATTTTGGGATCTTATTGGAGTGTAACATACATGAACAGAGCAAGAAAAGGAGGATCAGGCGTGAGGCGTGCTGACAAAATGAGTGACTTTTCGCAGTCAGCAACTGAGGATATCGGCCGAAAATCCGCATTCGGGATGAAATTTGTAGATTTTCAAATGGTACCGTTTCCTTCAAGTTTAACATGTCTTTATCATTTCATATAAATTCTACAAACTCCACTAATAAAGCACCTATAAAGTTGATAAATACCCCCAGGGGCAGTGCCACTGACTGTAGTGTCTCTAGGCCATTGCCAAAGGGGGGACATTTCTCGTTCAAGCACAGTAGAATTGAAAATGGGCTGACTCATGTCACGCTCATAACTGTGCCTGATCTACAACAGGGAACTGCTGCTTTTTTTTCCCTGATCCTTACTACTGTCATTTTCCTCTACTTCTTTTGTATGTTTGTCACTCTCTTGTGACCTTCTGTTTCAGGGGTGCCTTGATAGTCGAAGCAGACATTGTGCTGTTGAAGCTAGAGAGGTAAGCAGTCTAAGTCTGATTCCCTGTAAAGACTTCTCTGTTGACACCCACCCCTTGGCGCTCATATGACCTTATGCAGTTGCGAGCGCCGTAAAACCCTCTACTACATATTTTTTAAAAGTTGACTACTCGTTTTGCCATATAGGGCTGAAATCCGAGAAGCAGCTCACTTTGCAGCATGCCTTACAGATAATGACGATAGCCGGTCGGTGGCCTAGTGGTTAGGCTACCGGACTCGTAATCAAGGGGTTGCGGGTTCGGGGGTTCGAGCCGCGGGCCCGACGTTGTGTCCTTGGGAAAGGCACTTTGCACGAATTTCCCCCACTTCACCCATGTAGGAATAGGTACCCAGCTATAGAAAGTGAAATATTTTGTCAGTTTGTAAGTGTTTGAGCGCTTAACCAGCTGCTTGCACTGTATTCTTCCCAAGAAGCCGAGAATGTTTCTGAGTGTTCTAGTGTCTGCTGGGGGTAATAATATAGTGTAAAGCGCATAGAGGTTGCTTTCGAGTGGGGACATGCGCTCTACAAAATGCTATTTTTATTATTATTATTATTATTATTATTATTATTATTATTATTATTATTATTATTAGATTTTTTTTTAATAAGAAAGAAGATGCAAACCACTACAGAGAAGCCGCTAACCACCGACCACGGGGTTTACGTTGAATTGGATGCTTCTAGTTGCTTCCATAGCTCCTCTCAAGTTTACTAGACCGACTCCAGAGATGAGTTATAGCGGACTGATGTCTCTTAGCTCTTCGTATGCTCGGAACTTCACGGTGACAGTAGAGATGGTTCCAATAGGGAACAGGATAGAGAGTGCCCACGTCCCTCATGACTCACTGGAGCAGAGAAAGATAGGACTAACGCTAACATTACTTAACCGCAATCTCACATCATCCCTCATCACCGCCATCATTTCCAAAATCATCATTGCTTCAGATCTATAACTTCCATCTATAAATCTTGAATCTCTATCTGTAACAGTTACATGTCATACTAAGTATGCACGTAATACACTTTTGGACACCATCATGGGCACTTTTTTGTCTACTAATCAGATGGTGTCGATCTCATGTAAATGGGCAAGGGTTTATATACCCCCCAACCCCCCCCCCCCCCCAAAACAAAACAAACAACAACAACAACAAAACTCTTCGAATGCGGTGCGCCACTTGACCTGTTGTTTTAAATACAGCAGAAATCTACGAAGTTCCAGCAAACCCATCTTATGTAAAGATACATAGTTCACTTGTTGTCTAAAGACATAGCAAAGGGCTCTCGTGGCCTAGAGGTTAAGGTGTTCGCCTCTCATTCAACGGCCCTGGGTTCGAATCCGGGTAGCAACAGAAACCTTTCCTTCTTTAAAATTGCCTCCTTTCACCTCCTTCTTTCCTGCTCTCTTTCAATATTCTGTCGTCTGTTTTCGTCTCCACTTTTTGGCGTCACCTTCTTTGTCCCCTCATCTGGGCTCCTGACTCTTTCTGCAGTCTTTCTACTGTTACTCCTTGGCTCCTTCTTACTGCGGTCTTCAGCCACACCCCTGGTCTTCTGGTAGAAAAGACCTACACCTAACCTTCTCGGACAAGGGCAAAAAATCTCGGAAGTCCCGTGTGCAAGTTCCGCACCTTAAACGTCCCTTGGTGGTCTAAAATCGATAAGAGAAGGCTTCGGCCGCCACCCAGGGAAAATTCAATATTTTCCTACCACACGAAAATGTTTTAATGTTTCCCGCGCGCTCGTATGCAGTTGCGGGCGCCTTAAAACACTTACCAAAAAAAAAAAAAAAAAAAAAAGACATAGCAGAAACCCACGACACCCCAGCAAATCCATCTCACGTAAGAATACAAAGTACGTGTATAGATTCTACTTATAGCATGAAGCATTCATTTCTTTTTATTTTGTTGCTTATTTCACGCAAGTAGGTCAACTGGGGCGCAGTTACAGAAAACTTTATGGGGCTGAAAACTCGGACGACAAAATTGGCTACGTACAAAGGAAAACAACGAGCCTTCCGCGCACAAAGGGTTAAGTAAAACACATCACGTGGGCCACTGTTTTAGTGTACTAAGCCCAACAGTTTGACATTTTAATCTTTTTTATTGTGGTTTCTTAACCCTATCCGCACGTCGTGTTTTTACTCTCGTATCCATACCACGCGGGGAACTCTGTGCCACAACCTTCAAAGAGGAAATTACTCGTTAATCCGATCCGTACGCTTGTCATAGCGGTCAGTCAAAATAATTTTTTTGAGAAATATGGAAAGTTTCAAAGAGATATTCGTACTAGATGTATTTTAAAATCTGAAGAATACAACCGCGGGGTACAAAATGACCCCAGGGCGTACGGATTCGGTTAATCCGTAGTATTGGTTGCACGGGCTCAAGAACTATTTTGTCGAAATTCAAATTCTAAGCTATGTTGAAATTAAAAGCAAGAAAAGATACACAAAGAAGCTAGCTACAATTGATGGCTGAAAAGATGAAACTTTCTCTTTTCTCCCCTTATCAATGTTGCTGTCTGGATTTAGAACTTTTGAATAGCTCGCCGGCGATGACTTGGCAGTGTTGAAAGAGCCATTAAAATTCCTGCCATGCTGCCAATCGCAAAACAGATGTATTAATAATAAAAGATAGTATTTGTTTTGCGCAAATCCCCGCTCAACAGCAAGCTCTATGCGTTTTACAATCTATACTATTACCTAAGCAGACCTGAGAGCATTTTGAAACAAACTCAACTTCCTGGGAAGCTTACAGTGCAAGCAGCTGATTAAGCGCTCAGACACTAACATACTGACAAGATCTTTCACTGTCTATGGCCGGGTACCCATTCCCACCTGGGTTGAGTGAAGAAAATTCATGTAAAGTGCCTTTCCCAAGTACACAACGTCAGGAGATGTATAAGTGATGAAGAAAGAAAACAAATGCATACCTCGCCGCCAATCAAATCATTGCTGTCGAAAGAAATCCAATCACCACCTCCGAATTGCAAAGTTCTATCTGACATTTCTGATCGTGTCGAGTTACTTATTTAGACCATGTGATCAGAAACCAAATGCTCTATCTACTCAAACAAAATCGCAAGATTTTTCTTAGTCGTTATCAAGATATTCAAAGAATTGCATTCGTAAAAGATTGACATGTTTTTGTGAAACACAAATGTTTTACGTCAAATTTCTCCGAACTAGGCACTGAGCAGACAGAACTTCGTAATTCTAGGGTAGCAAAATGTCTACCACGCCGCCAATCACAATATAGTTGTAGAGAGAAAAACAAGAGCCTACCACACTAATGGTCACAAGATAGTTGTAGTGATGGAGAAAGAAAACAAAAAATAAGCCTACCACGCCGCCAATCACAACGTACCTGTAGAGAGAATACAAATGTCTCTGACAGTATTTTTTGCACACGGGTTCCTGCCCCACATCTTGTACCTGTTGAAGGTGGGCTTCTCCCCCACTCTTTGCTCCGTCTCATTCAGCCCTGGAAGGGGACACACAATAGCAAATATTGTGAATAGAAATAATATCTTTAAAAATCGAACAAACAATAGTAATAACAATAGAAATATTATTACAATAATAACCAAAAAAATAAATGATGACGATGATGATGCTGATGATGATGCTAATAATAATTTACTTATTTCAGCCCAGGTAAGTCATTTCTTTCCTGGACATGTCCCTTCTCACTGCAGAGAACCAAATTGAGACAGACCTTTATTTTTTTTTAAAACCTACCGACTCCAATCGTTACCTCCCACCTTCTTCAAACCATCCCAAACATAAAATTCCGTTCTGTGGTCTATAGTGGTGCACTTAGACTCCGCCGCATTTGTTCCTGTAAAAATTCTTTTAAACAACGGATAGAGGAATAACAGCCAACGTTCTTCACAGGGGATACCGCAACAATTTTATAACTCCAATTATCGAGAAAGTCAGCAAACTGAACCGCACAAACCTTCTGACCTACAAACCCTTTAAGCCCAAAAAGAAAAGACAATTTTTCGTCACAACCCATCACCCAAAACTACCTAATGTACATAAAATCCACAGCCAACACAAGAAGAATCTTGAAAAAATCAGACAAAATGAAAGCAAAGCCTGTTTTCCCTATCCCCCTCTGCTTGCACGTCGACAGCCTCCCGATCTTGGTAACCCTCTCATTCACACTAGAGCAGTAACACCCACGTCCTCACCTCCTACAAGCCCATGTTCCCCGCCCCAAAATTATCCTTGTCGAAAAGCTAGATGCAAAACATGTGTTTACATGAAAGTGACCAACTTTGTAGAAGGCCCCCACTTTAAAAGAAAACATTTTAACAGCATCACCTCTAAAATCAAAAACGAAATCTACCTCATATCATGTAAAGTCTGTCCAGCTCAATATGTAAGTCAAACTACCACCACACTTAGAGCTAGGTTTAAAAGATCTAGGTGTTCAGCACAGAAAAACTCCAGCACACCAGTTGGCCAACATTTCAACAGTCCAGGTCACAATGGAGCCTCCGATTTGCAGGTTCAGGGTATTGAAATAGTCCAATATCCTACAAAAGGAAAAACTCAACCAAAGAGAATCAAAACCCCCCGGGGCAGTACCACTGACTGTAGTGTCTTTAGGCCATTCCCAAAGGACGGACATTTCTCTTTCAAGTGCAGTAGAAAATGGGCTGATTCATGTCACGCCCATAACTGTGCCTGATCTACAACAGGGAACTGCTGCTTTTTCTTTCCTAATCCTTACTATTGTCATTTTCCTCTACTTCTTTTGTATGTTTGTCACTCTCTTGTGATCTGCTATTTCCGGGGTGCCTTGATAGTTGAAGCAGACCTTGTGCTGTTGAAGCTAGAGAGGTGGGCAGAGTGGGTATGATTCCCTGTAAAGACTTCTATGTTGACACCCACCCCTTGGCGCTCATATGACCTTATGCAGTTGCGAGTGCCGTAAAACCCTCTACTATAATAAAATAATGATAAAAAGAGAATCAATGTGGATTTGGAACTTGGGGTCTCACAAATTTCTCACTGGCCTTAACATCGACGAGCCACATTTTAAGGACCTTAAATTTACAACATAACGTACTTATCACCCCTTGTATTCCAGTAACCCCCTCACTTTGGCCCTGCCTTTCCGTCATATTAATTACCTCCACGTACTT